CTGGTCTGAGTCTGTATAAATATGTGCTCATGTGTGTGTGTGTGTGTGTCCCACTGAGATCCCACAGGTCTGAATAAATGACTGTGTATTTGTGGCATGTCCCCTTTGTATTCTTGTATGTGGATGTGGGTGGTTCATAGGATCATATTACCTGGGTGTGTTCTGTGTGAGTGTGTATGTCTTGCACATGTGGATCTGTAAACCTGTGTTGTATGTGGTTGTTCTCTCACATTTCTGGTTTGTGTCTGGGGGTTATGGACATCTGTAAATTGTGGGCCTGTGGGTCCAGTTGTGACTGTGTGTGTGTTCTGCATATGTTCCTCTGTACATCATTCTGTGTGTGTATACCCAGTACTCATCAGTGTGAGCATCTGTTTATCTGTGCCCCTATGTACATGTGTATGTCATTATGGGTCTCACAGATCTGGTTGTGTGTCTGAATATAAATCAGTACAATCCCAGTGGTTCTATGTTGAGTGATCTGTCCAGGCATATCTCTGACCTCGAGTCTTGAAAAGTAACAAGACAGTAGCTATGTGTTCAGCCTGAAATAAAGGAGTGATTGGGAGTGTGCAGTTATTGCTTTATACTGAATGTAGAATTCTGGAGCTGTGAAAGACATTTAATCAAGAATATTTAGCATGACCCTGACTGGGTAGCTCAGTTGGTTAGAGTGTCATCCCAATATGCCAAGGTTGTGGATTTGCTCTCTGGTCAGGGCACACAGAAGAAGAAACCAATGGCTCGGCCGGTGTAGCTCACTTGAGTGTTGACCCATGTACCAAGAGGTCACCAGTTCAATTCCCGGGCAGAGCACATGCCCAGGCTGTGGGCCCAATCCCTGGTGAAGAGCATGCAGAGACGCCCAATCAATGTTCTCTCTCATCGATATTTCTCTCTCTCTCTTTCCTTTCCTCTCTCTCTAAAATCAATAAAGATAAAATATTTTTTTTAAAAAGCAACCAATGGCCCTGGCTGGTTTGGCTCAGCGGTTAGAGCATTGGCCTGCGGTCCAGAGAGACCCAGGTTCGGTTCCCACTAAGGGAGCGTGCCTCGGTTGCAGTTTGTCCCCGGCCCTGGTTGGTCATGCGGGTGGCGGCCATTCGAATGTCCCTTTCACGTCGATGTTTCTCTCGCTCTCTTCCTCTCTCTCCCTCCCACTCTGTCTGAACAAAAAATCGAAAAATGTCCTCGGGTGAGGATAAGAAAAAAAAGGCAACCAATGAATGCATCAATAACTGGAACAACAAATCAATGTTTCTCTCTCTAAAATCAACAAATAAAAAATTAAAGAAAAAGAGTATTTACCATAAGATTCCCACTTATCCCAAGTTACTTTCTGACATCCCAAGTCACTTTGTGACCCCTGAGGGTCATCCTGAGGGCTGATTAGCAGGGCTATGTGAAGGTCCAAAGAAATGTGGGTATAGGTGCTATTTTAAAAGTAAAAAGCATTTTAAAATTTGAGATTGTAAAGACCAAAACAATAATGTCTTATTGCATTAAATGTTTAGTGTTATAACCTAAATACTTGTCCCCAGTACCTATACAAGTAACCTGTATCAGACTAACACTCTTGCCAATAACAACTATAAACTTGCACAGAGGAATTTTTAAAAATGATAATATATCATAACCCAGTTACACTTATACAAAAAAAGCGAAGCTGGTTAAATACTCAGAAAGTATCAATGTTATTAGCCTAATTAACAGAATATGTGGTAAAAAATAACCTCAATAGATACAGGAAAAACATTTGATTAAAGAACACACTTTTTAGCCCTGACCAGTTTGACTCAGCAGTTAGAGCATCAGCCTGCGGTCCGGAGAGACCCGGGTTCGGTTCCCGCTAAGGGCACGTACTTCGGTTGCAGTTTGTCCCTGGCCCTGGTTGGTCGTGTGGGTGGCAGCCACTCGATGTGTCCCTTCACATTGATGTTTCTCTCTCTCTCTCCCTTCCTCTCTCTCCCTCCCACTCTATCTGTACAAAAAATGGAAAAATATCCTCGGGTGAGGATAAAAAAAAAGAACACACTTTTTAGCCCTGACCAGTTTGACTCAGCAGTTAGAGCATCGGCCCTTGGACAGAAGGGTCTTGGGTTCAATTCCTGGACAAGGGCACATACATGAGTTGCAGGTTCAATCCTCAGCACCTGCTGGGGTTGCACCGGAGGCAACCAATGGATGTCTCTCTCACATCGATGTTTCTCTCTCCCTCCTTCCTTCCTTCCCAGTCTAACTGAAAATCAATGGAAAAATATCCTTGGGTGAGGATTAAAAAAAACGCTTTTTTATGAATAAAAATCAACCAGCTCGTCTTGGTAGGTTTGTCTCAGTAGTTAGAGCATTGGTCCTTGGACCAAAGAGTCATGGGTTCAATTCTGGTCGGGAGCACGTACTTCAGTTGCAGTTCGGTCTATGGTCCTGGTTGGGGTTGTATGGGAGGCAACCAATGTTTCACTCTCTCTCACTTTCCCTCCTTCACACTCTATCTAAAGATAGATTAAAAAATATCCTCGGGTGAGGATTAAAAAAAAAAAATCAACTAGCTCAGTCTAAAATTTTAATAGAAAAGCAAAGGACCAAGAATAGTCGGGCCCTGCCAGTTTGTCTCAGCAGTTAGAGCGTCGGCCTGCGGTCCGGAGAGACCCAGGTTTGGTTCCTGTTAGGGGCACGTACCTCGGTTGCAATTTGTCCCTGGCCCTGGTTGGGTTGTGCAGGTGGCAGCCACTCGATGTGTCCCTTTCACATCGATTTTTCTCTCTCTCTCTTCCTCGCTCACCCTCCCACTCTATTTGAACCAAAAAAATGGAAAAATGTCCTCAGGTGAGGATGAAAAATAAATAAATAAATAAAAATAAAAGACTTAATATAAATCTGCAGTAATTAAGACAGGGTAGTATTTGGGAGGGTTGTCAAACAGATCAAAGAACAATAAAACCTAGAAAAGACCCATATTTATATTGTTTTGGTTGTTGTTAATCCTCACCCAAGGATATTTTTCCATTGATTTTCAGAGTGGAAGGAAGGGAAGAAGGGAGAGAAACATCGATGTGAAACATATCAATTGGTTGCCTCCCTCACGACCCTGACTGGGGCCTGGGATTGAAACTACAACTCAGGCATGTGCCCTTGACTGGGAATTGAACCCAAGACCCCTTGGTCTGAGGGCTGACATTCTAACCGTTCAGCCAAACCAGTCAGGGTGGCATATATTTGTTAATTAACAGATCACAGAAATGTTGTTGAAGGGTGATGGTGCCAGGAAAGTCTAGTCCACAAATTGTGCTGGAAAAATGAGGTAATCATATGAGAAAAATTAAAAAAAACTTTGACTCTCCTGCCTTGCAACAAACATCCATTTAAAATGAATCACAGATCTTACTATAAAACCTAGAACCATAAAACACCATGTTTATCTTAAATGAAACACAGAATACCTTTAAAACCTAGGCAAAAGACTTCTTAGGGAGTACACAAACCGCACATAAAAGAAAAAAACCTAATAAATTGGACTTCATCAGAAACAAAACATATGGTCATTGTAATGTTGTAGTAAAAATTAAAATACTAACCGTTGGCAAGGGTCAGAGCCCATTCTCTCTTTCCTGACTATCTGAGGCATGGCCAAAGCTTACCCCTCTCTGCTAGAACTTTGGCCATGATGGGTACATCCCTGGGTTATGCTCGTGAATAATAAGACATTGTGGTACAGTGGAATTGTAAGTACCCGTTTATTTTTTTGTAGTAAGGTATTCCCCTTGGCAGGGCCAGACCAAATGATTTCGTGGGCCTTATACAGCCCAAGAGCTGGACTTTCCCTACCCCTGATCTAAAAGAAAAAGCACACGTGTACATGTGCACAGAGACAAACTGGAAGGAAATGCATCTCTAGGTAATGACCCAGGAACTGACACTGAGGCCATTTTTATTCTTAGAATTTTCAAATTCTTTTTCAAATGTCTTCAATACATATGTATTTCTCAGATACTCAGAAAAGAAAGCGTATATGTAACAAAACAAAACAAAACACCAAGACTCCAATGACAAGAAGGCCAAAGGGTATAGTCAAATAATTTTCAGGAAGAAAGACCAATAATAAAAACATGTTCAATATCAGCCTCATCAGTTATCAAAGGAGTGAAGTGGAGTAATAGTGCCACTCAGCTGAGCATATTAACAGCACTGCAGGGCAGACAGTACACACGGGGCACAGGACCCATGAAGATGGTTTTATTTTCTTTTAAAATAAAAAGAAAAATCAGGATGATGATAATGAATAAAGCCTAGATTATATTTGTTTTCCCAACTCAGTGGTGAAATAGGACTTATCCAATTTGTCACGGAAGAAGGGCCCATGACAGTCATGATGTGGCCCTGGGGACTGCACAATACCAGGCAAGGGAGCAGCAGATACCCAGGATCATCACTCTGTGGTCACCACGCCCTGAACAAAGACCATCTGGACATCCACTGTGAACAGTGCCTGTGCCCAGGAGATGGACGTGCAAGGGATGTTCCAACCGGACCCGTGCTGCTGATTGGTTTCTTCATAATGAAACACAATTACTTTGCAGACACACAAACAAAAACATACTGAGATGATTCCTTAAGCTATTCATTCATCTCAAAATTTTCACTTCTAGAAATCTACTCTAAGAAAATGCTAAAGTGGTATAATGCAAAAGAGGCTCCATGAAGAATGATTTATTATAGTGAAAAACATGGAAATAACCTCAATATCCAACAAAAGAATATCAAATAGAATACTATGCTTCCGTTTACAATTATGACTCTAAAGACAGTGCGGTCACTTGGGAAACTGTTCTTCTATACAGCTAAGCGGAAAAAAAAATTAAATGATATATCTATGTTTAATGTGATGTAAAAATGCAATATGGAAAAAGCAGAAGTACTATATCAAAGTGCAAAATGCAATTTTATTAAGAATTCTGGGTGTTTTCTGTCCTTTATTCCACATTTCCTGAAATGTGGTTATTTTGCCTCCATAATTTAAAAAGTATATGAAAAAGCATTTCATAAACTATAGCACTCTATACAAATGCAAATTATTATCACTGAGAAGGCATCTTGTATTTGCTGAGAACTTGTGGAAATAACATTAAATCTAGATAAACACTGTATTTCTGTCCCTGCAGGGAGCATGGGGATGGTCCTATGGAAGGGGCTTCTCCCTGGGGGTTGCACTGAGGAGCTGAGCTACGTGGTGGGGATGCCATGCAGGCAGCCCCAGCTGGGGTGAAGGTGTGCTTCTGGACACACCTGTCCCGACACTGCAGCCGCATGGCCTGTGTGCTCCCAATCTTCCATTACGAACCAGGTGGCCAGGTGTGAGGCCAGCTTGTCAGGGTCTGGCTGTTGCTGGTCTGTGTGTCTGTGACGTCTGTGCTGGCTGTAACAAATGCCTCTGCAGCAGAGCCACTTCAGTGAGGGGAGTGCAGAGAATCGGATTTTTCCCAAACTCCCACCATCCAAGATTATTCTCCCCTCCAGGAATACAATGTTTGCTTGGAGGTAATACTGTTCATAATTCTGGTTTTTAAAATTCTTTATATTATTCTTAACATAAGAGTTCACAGATGAAATTCCTGATCAAAATCATGCCAGGAGCCTGTCTGAGGACACGATGATTGACATACCTTTTTATCTGCAGGAAAGATCTAATCCACTGGTCAGTGACCACAAAACCCGTCAAAGGAAACAAGACCATGGGACATCCTCAAATGACCTTCAACTCTACTCTCCTAGAATGTATCCCTTCCCAGGAGGTGATGACTGCTAATAAGAAGGTGTCTGCTACAGCATGTACCTCCGAGCCACTGTGTTTTCCCCGCCGTTCACCCTGGGGAAGAAGCCAGATGACAAGCACACCATGTTAATTTCCAGGTTTGCTACCCAGGGGGAAGTTCCTGCTGGCTGAGGGCTGAACCACACACAGGAGCTTTGCCATGTCCAGTGAATTGATGGGGTCCATGCCGCTCACGGCCATGTCACCTGCATCCAGCAGGCTACTGGGAACATAGTATGTATTCAGCAAATGCTTATTGAACTGGATGGCAAATGGCTTTTCTTCTCTGTGTATCCTCTGGTGTTTGGTGAGGTGAGCGCTCCAGTTGAACATTTCGCCACATTCGTTACATTTAAAAGACTTCTCCCTGGAGTGGATTTTCTGATGTTTAATGAGACAGTGATTCTGGGTGAATGCTTTGCCGCACTGGCTGCATTTATAGGGCTTCTCTCCAGTGTGGATCCGCTGATGCACGATGAGCGACGAGTGGCAGCTAAAGGCCTTCCAGCACCGACTGCAGGCAAATGGCTTCTCCCCTGTGTGCACCCGCTGGTGCACGATGAGGTAGGAGTGGGAGTTGAAGGCTTTCCCACACTCGTTGCACTTGAAAGGCTTCTCCCCGCTGTGGATCCTCTGGTGCACGACCAGGTAGGAGTGGCAGCTGAAGCCCTTCCCGCAATCGCCACACTTGAAGGGCTTCTCTCCCGTGTGAATCCTCTGGTGGAGGGTGAGGCGTGAGCGGTTATTGAAGGCCTTCGCACAGTCGCTGCATTTAAACGGCTTGTCTCCGTTGTGGATTTTCTCGTGCACGGTCAGGGATGAGTGGCAAGTGAAGGCCTTCCCGCACTCGTCACACTTATACGGCTTCTCTCCCGTGTGGATTCTGTGGTGCCGTGTCAGGTGCGTCCTCTGGTTGAAGGCTTTCCCGCACTCGCTGCATTTGTAGGGCTTCTCCCCGGTGTGGACCCTGAGGTGCATGTTCAGCAGCGAGCTGCAGCTGAACGCCTTCTCGCAGGCGTTACACTTGTAGGGCCTCTCGCCCGTGTGGATCCTGTGGTGCACGTTCAGTGACGAGGGACAGCTGAAGGCTTTCCCACACTCGCCACAGAGGAAGGGCTTCTCCCCTGTGTGGATTCTCTGGTGCTCGACGAGGTTGGTCCTCCAGGTGAAGGCCTTGCCACACTCGTTACACCTGTAGGCTTTCTCCCGTGCGTGCCATCGCTGATGCAGGGTGAGGGAGGAGCTCTGGTGGAAGGTTTTCCCACACTGGCTACACATAAAGAGACCCTCCCCGGTGCCAGTGCCCTGAGGCCTTTTCCCAAGCGGAGGTTTGCTGTGCTCTCGGGACTGGCAATTGTTTCTCCCTGTGCACATTCTCTGGTGCTGGCTTGCAGCCTCGCTGGATGGGAAAATGTTGGTGTGTCTGTCAGGAGACTCTCCCTCTGTTGGAATGAGAGCTCCTTTGCTCTGCTGGGCAAAGAGGGTGCACCTGAGGGGCAAAGCCTCCTCAGACGCTTCGTGTCCCTGCCAGTGCTCCTCTGCAGAGACCTCCCCACAGCCGGTGGGCTTGCACCTCCACAGCACATCCTCGCCTCCTGACAGAGCAGCCACTGGGCCCTCCCAGGCCCACCCCTCGCCTGGACCAGGGCTGTGGAGACTGGACCTCGTCAGCCCCTCCGAAACTGACTCCTGTGATGGCTCTTCTTTGTAGGTGCCCTGCTGCTGCCACAACTCCTCCATCATCGCAGGCCTGGGCTCCCATTCTGTAAGAAGCGGAAATACAATGTTCTGTAAGCCGGCAGAGGCATGGCCCTGGAATCAGACTTGGTATCTGAGCTGGACGTGCAGACAAGCATAGAAAAGAGAGCAGAGACCAACAGAGTGAGGGAGCTCGAAAGCAGCGAGACAGGCAGGGGTGCACGTGGGGTGAGACGGCAAACAAGCTGTCAAGAGGGAAGAGGAGAAAGAAACGGAAAGGAGCCCCTGCAGGGAATTCCAGAAAGAGTCAGGGGGTCAAGGGCTCATGGATACAAATCACCCATTGAAACATCAACTGAGAGACTGCTGTGTGTCAGATCCTGGTTAGTGATGGCTGGGATAAACACAAGTAAAAAAATAATATATTTTTGTTGTTGTTATTAATCCTCACCCAAGAATATTTTTCCATTGATTTTCAGAGAGAGAGAGGGAAAGGGAGAGAAAGTGGGTTAGCGCGAGAGAAATGTTGATGTGAGAGAGCTACATCGATTGGTGGCCTCCCGAACGACTCTGATTGTGTCGGGGATGAAACTTTCAAACCTGGGGGCATGTCCTTGACTGGGCATCAAACCTGCAAACATTTAGTCCAAGGGTTGACATTCTAACCGCTTAACCTAACCAGCCATATCCAAAAACAATAAAGTTAGCACGGCTGGCGTGGCTCAGTGGATTGAGCATTGTCTCATGGACTGAGAGGTCCCTGTTCGAGTCCTGGTTAGGGCACATGCCCATGTTGTGGGATACCCGGTGGGGGGCAAGCAGGAGGCAGCCAATAGATGTTTCTCTCTCACATCGATGTTTCTATCTCTCTCTCCTGTCTGCTCTCTCTAAATAATCAATTTAAAAAAATATTAAGCCCTGGCCAGTTTGGCTCAGTGATTAGAGCGTCGGCCTGCGGTCCGGAGAGACCCGGGTTCGGTACCCGCTAAGGGCACGTACTTCGGTTGCAGTTTGTCCCCGGCCCTGGTTGGTCGTGCGGGTGGCAGCCACTCGATGTGTCCCTTCACGTCGATGTTTCTCGCTCTCTCTCCCTCCCACTCTATCTGTACAAAAAGTGGAAAAATATCCTCGGGTGAGGATAACAAAAAAAAAAAAATATATATATATATATATATATTAAAAAGCAATACATTTAACATGTGCTGCTGTGGTGGGATAGGTAGGTTGGTTAGTGTGTCATCCCAATAATCCAAGGTTGTGGGTTCTAACTGTGGTCAAGCACATACAGGAAGCAACCACTGGCCCTGGCTGATTTAGCTCAGATATTAGAGCTTCTGCCCTAGGACTGAAGGGTCTTAGGTTCGATTCCCGGTCAAGGGCACGTGTGCCTGGGTTGCAGGTTTGATCCCCAGCCCTGACTGGGATTTTGCAGGAGGCAACCAATCCATGTGTCTCTCTCACATGGATTTTTTTTTTTTTTTTAATCCTCACCCGAGGACATTTTTCCATTTTTTGTTCAGGTAGAGTGGGAGGGAGAGAGAGGAACAGAGAGAGAGAGAGAAACATCGATGTGAAAGGAACACATCGAGTGGCTGCCACCCGCACAACCGACCAGGGCCGGGGACAAACTGCAACCGAGGTACGCGCCCTTAGCGGGAACCGAACCCGGGTCTCTCAGGACCGCAGGCCGACGCTCTAACCGCTGAGCCAAACCGGCCAGGGCTCACATGGATTTTTATTTCTCCCCCTCCCTCCATACCTTCCACTCTCTCTAAAAAGTCAATGGGAAAAAATATATCCTCCTGTGAGGATTAAGAACAACAACAAAAAGAAGCAACCACTGAGTGCATAAATAAGGGAAACAACAAATCAATGTTTCTCTCTCTATCTAAAATCAATAGCTTAAAAAAAATGAGGAGAGACAACCTCGGACCATTTGGCTCAGCTGTCAGAGTATCGGCCTGCAGACCAGTCGACCAGTCTCAGGTTCCATTCCAGGCAAGGGATATGTCTCTCTCACATCGATGTTTCTCTCTCTCTTTCTCTCCCTCCCTCCCTCTCACCCACTATATCTGAAAATCAATGGAAAAGTATCCTCGGGTGAGGATTAAAAAAAGAGAGACTCATTTACTCCATACCCTATTAAGAAAAAAAAATGAAAAAATTAAAATGTCCCTTGTTCCAGAGGGGAAAAGGAACTCTCCCACCCAACCTCTCTTTAGCACTTCCTTTAGATCACTTGAAACTATAAATGCAATCTCTGTCCCTGAGATGTACATACATCTCTTTAAAAGCTAAATAAGCCACCCAACCAGTGTGGCTCAGTGAATTGAGCTTCGACCCATGGACTGAGAGGTCCAGGTTAGATTCCCAGTCAGGGCACATTGCCCGGGTTGTGGGATTGATCCCCAGTAGGGGGCATGAGGGAGGCAGCCAACTGACGTCTCTCTCTAAAATCAATTAAAAAAAAAAAAAAAGCTAAATAAGCCTCTGCCAGCTTCGCATACCAGAAGGCACGTCTTCCTTGGAGCCACTTCTATAAACTGTCTCCCTGCCCCTGGGCTGACTCTGCCCTTTTCTCAAAGAGCAAAGCCCTCACCCACTCCACACACTCCCATCCCTGTGCTGCTTCGTTTTTCTTGGCGCCATCTGACAGTCGCCACTAGTTAATTTTTTTTTTTTTATCCTCACCTGAGGATATGTTTGCATTTATCTTCAGATAGAGCAGGAGGGAGAGAGGGAGCAAGAGAGAGAGAGAGAAACATCCATGTGAGAGAGACACATTGACTGGTTGCCACCCACACGACACCAACTGGCACTGGGAAGGAACTGCAACTGAGTTACATGCCCTTAGGGGAACTGAACCCAAGACTCTCTGGTCTGCGGGCCCAACGCCTTAATCACTGAGCCAAACCAGCCAGGGCTAGTTAGATATTTCTATACATGTAGACATGATTTGTGTCTCCTGCCAACAGAAGGCAGATGTCTTCGCCTGTTCTCCTGTTGTATTCCCAGCGCAGTTTCTGGCACACAGCCAGTGCTCAATGTGTGCACTGAAGGAAGGAAGGGAAGCGGGAAGGTTCTAGAAGGGACACAGAGCAGGCGCAGATGGAGCGGGGGCAGTGGACTGTGGAAGGAGGTCTGTGCTGGGATGTCCAGATAGGTGGTGGGAGGGGCACTGAGGGTGGGAGCTCCATATCCTTCCACTGCATTCCTCTCTCACCTGGACGAGCCCCTCTGGGGACTTCTCTGGGCACCTGCCATGGCTCTTCGCCTCGTTCCAGATGGGAGATCACGTCTGGCTTACAGATCGGAGGCCCTGCTCGTGGGGAGGAAGCGGCATGGCTCTGTGTGCTTGGGCTCTCCAGAACCAGCAGATAAGACAGAGCAGCCCCCAGAACAGTACGGGCTGGCACCGAGGGTCTCAGAATCAGAACCTAAATTGAGGCATGCACTCTGAGGATCCCGCGGGTATGGACGCGCCCTCCCCTCCATCTCCCTTGGAAAGCTCCAGGCCAGGCTGGGCTTCCAGGACCCTATCCACGCCCTCCCTCTCATTCTGGCTGCCTGATGACCAGCCACACCTCCAGGCAAGGATGCCAGTGGCACCGCAGAGCCCTGTCACAGGGCCCGGGCACAGAGACCACAACCCCCACACCCTGCTGAGCCCGGCACCAGGGCTGGTGCTGAAGGGAGACTCAGTAAAACCTATGGTGTGGCAGAACGCCCAGACTGCACACTCCAAGCCTCGGGGAGCCGTCTTACCCATTAGGGCGAGAAGATTCTGGTAGTTCTCCAGCATCACATCCCGGTACAGGGCCCTCTGAGGAGAGTCCAGCTGGCCCCACTCCTCCTGGGTGAAGTCTACGGCCACATCCTTGAAAGTCACAGATTCCTGGGATGACACACACGTTCTCAGAAACCCAGGATGGGAGTGATTCCAATTGCATTCATGCTTCCAAGGGAGTTAAGGGTTAACTTTGGTGACCTTCTCCCAAGCACGGAAAGTTGTGCTTAGATGCCATCTGTCCTACAGCCCCACGTGCACAACAAGGCTGGGCCAGGAATCACCATTTGCACCTGGCCTTCTGAGCCTGAAGGGCCCAGCTAACTTGGCAGCCTGTGTGCGCCTGCTGCAGTGGAGAGAAACGGCTGTGATAAGTTCTGGGTAAGATGCTGTGCTTACCAGGGTCAAGGATGTCAAACTTGAAAGGATAACACAAAGAACCCAGAAACCCTGTTGAAATCTCATCACTGCAAAAGGACTTGACCCTAGACAGAAAGCCATCATTACACCCTGAGGAAGGAAACTCTATACCCATCACCAAGCCTGTGCCTCAGAGACCAAAGCTGTTCATGTCCTTCCTGCCTGCCCCTCACTCCTTCCCACCATTATCCTTCTCCCTGCCCTCCCCAGGCCCGAGTCCTGCCCATGCCACCCTGACCTGCTCCCACCCTCTCCTCCAATGCTGGTCAGATTGCAGGGTAACCCTTCCATCCACTTGATACTCTGGTTCCAAGTGTTACAAATGCCTCCAAATGACTCCACTTGTACTTCTGCCCTCAAATCCTAGGCTCTTCTGCCTCCCAGGACTCCTCACCCCACTGAAGCCTCCAGGCTGTCGCCCCTAACATTCTCTACACTCATCATGCTCCAACCTCTTCTGGATAACGCCCTGTAGAAAATAAGCTCTCATGGCCCACCAGGGCTCTGACCTGAGGCAGCAAGGGTGGGCAGGCTGCTTTCTAAGCAGCTGCTAACTAACTGGCTCTCTTTTCGAAGATGCTGGTGGTAACCTGGCTAAAACTATAGTTAAGATGTAGTTACGTCAGACATAAGAGCAAAGACTAATCCAAGGGAGGCAGGGCTGGTTCCCACCTTGTAAGCATTTGCTGGGGAGTGTCTGGTGTGGGGCCAAGCTCCCAGGGGCCACCAGGGGCCACCAGATTCCACGAGCTCTGGATCCACATCAGCACCCAGAGTAGGCACAGGGCACAGACTGTCAAGCCTTGAGAAGAGGTCTCCTGCCTACCAGGTGCTTACCAGGTAGTCAGTAAAAGCGGGAACCCTCTCTGGCATCATAGGAGTTTTGACCTTTAATTCTAAAAGTAGCTTATACTTTTTTGTTAATCTTCATCCAAGGAATATTTTTTCCACTGATTTCAGAGAGAGAATGGAAAGGAGGAAGGGAGAGAGAGAGAGGTAAACATCGATGTGAGAGAGATAGATAGACTGGTTGCCTCCTGCACACTCCACAACTGGGGCCAGGTATTGAACCTGAAACGCAGGTACGTGCCATTGACCAGGAACCAAACCCAACACCCTATGGTATGTGGGCTGACACTCTAACCACTTAGCAACACCAGGGCCAACCCTTTATTTTTTTTATTGATTGCTTTTAGAGAGAGATGATCAGGGGGAGAGAGAGAGACAGAGACAGAGACAGAGACAGCCATTGCTTTGTTGTTCCACTTATTGATGCATTCTTTGGTTGGTTTCTTTTTTTTTTTTTTTCCTCACCCGAGGACATTTTTCCATTTTTTACTCAGATAGAGCGGGAAGGAGAGAGAGGAAGAGAGAGAAACATCGATGTGAAAGAGACACATTGAGTGGCCGCCACCCACATGACCCAACCAGGGCCGGGGACAAACTGCAGCCAAGGTACATGCCCTTAGCGGGAACCGAACCCGGGTCTCTGTGGACCGCAGGCTGATGCTCTAACCGCTGAGCCAAACCGGCCAGGGCTTTGGTTGGTTTCTTGTATGTGCCCTGACAAGGACTGAATCCACAGTCTTGGTGTATCAGGATGATGCTCTAACCAACTGAGATATGCCACCAGGGCCAAGTTGGTTATACTTTTAGATAGTTATCAATGTTGATATATACTGAACTGTGTCCCCCTGAAATTCTTAGGTTAAAGCCCTAATCCCCCAATGCGACTACATTACCCTAGGAGGTAACAGGCTAGGTGGGGTCATAGGTTGGGCCCTAATCCAATAGGACTGGTGTCCTTATTTAAAGAGAATGACAGTCCTGGCTGGTTCAGCTTAGTGGTTGGAGCATCAGCCAGCAGACCAAATAGTTGCGGGTTTGATTCTCAGTCAAGGGCAGGTTCGATCCCTGCCACCTGTTGGGGTGGTGTGGGAGACAAGCAATCAATGTGTCTCTCGCATCGATGTTTCGCTCTCCCTCTCCCCTCCTCCCTCCCATTCTATCTAAAAGTCAATGGAAAGAATATCCTCGGGTGAGGATTAAAAGAAAAAGAGGATGACGAGACCTCTCTACGAATGTGCACAGAGGAAAGGCCACGTGAGGACCTGGGAAAAGAGGCAGCCATCGGCAAGCGGGGAGGAGAGCCCTCACGATTGAACTTCTCGCCTCCAGAACTGTGAGAAATATTTCTGTTGTTTAAGCCGCCGGTCTAGGGTATTTTTTTTAAGACAGCTCAAACTGACTAAGACAAATGTCAGCATAAAAAGTAAGAAAGATTAAACCACTCTTCATACCTCGCACAGCACAGCTCCAGGCAGAGCAGGGATCTAACGTGAGACATCTGGGGGCAGTTCTGTGAATCCCTGGCTGGCAGAGACAGTAAGCGCAACAGGAAAGCCAGAAACATGGAGAGAAGATTTCTACCTGCTCCATGAAAGTTTACGTTTTCTGCATGGAACACTGACAATCACTAAGAAAAAGAAAAGCAAGAGACACCTTTGGGCAGGTATGCATAGTGGGGGGGACATCTGTTCAACAATTTCTAGTAAAGCTGAGAGGGTGTGTTCCCTGTGCCTCAAAAATCCACTTTGAAATTCCTACCCAGCCTAGTGTGGCTGAGAAAACACAGGAAACAAACTGAATGCCCATTAGTCGGGAGGAATATAAGCAATTCTGTGACTGTGAACAGGACAGACAGATTAACCTGTCCACATGGGGATCTCTCTAAAGCATAGCAGTGGGCACAAAAGCAGGCCCCCAGTGTGATGCCCTTCACAGAACCATCTAGAAGTACACACAGTACCGCATGGAGTTTACAAATACTCAGATGCACAGATAAGGGCACAGGCTCTGAGCCAACAGCCTGGGTGGGCTCCGCACTCTTGCCCTGATTAGCTACGTGAGTGGAAGGGTGCTTCAGTTTGCCTGTTTGTAAAACAAGATGCTGATCGTGCCTACATCATGCATTGTGGTGAGTGTTACGAGTTACTACTGGTGGGGAGCTCCCATCAGAGTGCCGTTGGTGTTTGTTGGTCATCCCTGTGAGACTGCCAGGGGCCGGTGAAGGTAGGAGACAGAGGAGCTGGTGGAGGACACAACAAGCACTTTGCCTTGACCTGCAATATAGTTTTTATTTTTTATTTTATTGTTTTTTAAATCCTCACTCAAGAATATTTTTCCATTTATCTTCAGTTAGAGTGGGAGGGGGGAAGGGAGGGAGGGAGGGAGGGAGAGAGAGAGAGAGAGAGAGAGAGAGAGAGAGAGAGAGAGAAACATCGATGGATGTGAAAGAGACACATCGATTGGCTGCCTCCCGCATGACCCCAACCAAGGTTGGGAACCTAATGGCAACCGAAGTACATGCCCTTGACCAGAATCGAACCTGCGAGTCTTCAGTCCGTGGGCCAACGCTCTAACCGCTGAGCCAAACTGGCCAGGACCAATATAGTTTTTAATGATCAGAAGTAAATATGACAAAATTTAGACATTTGTTAACTTTACAAAATAGGTACATAGGTTGTTATTTCTGTTTCTGTTTTAAATGTTTCAAAACTTAAAAACAACAAAAAAAGCTATTCAAGGAGGAAGAAATGCAAATTTCCAATGGACTTATAAAAAGGTTAGTGATTTTTGTCAGGAAAATACAAATCAAAACAAAAATAAGATAATACTTCTTGCTCTGGCCAGCTTTGTTCAGTGGTTAGAGTGCTGGCCTGCAGACCAAAGGGTCTCAGGTTCAATTATCAGTCAAAGGTATGTGCCTGGGTAGTGTGGGAGGCAACCCATCAATGTGTCTCTCTTACACTGATGTTTCTTTCTCTTTTTCTCCCTCCCTCCCACTCTAACTAAAAAAATCAATGGAAAAATATCCTCAGGTGAGGATTAACTAAAAATAAAATGAGTCACTTCTTGCCTATCAGAGTAGCACTAATTACAACCTGGTAACCAGCAATGAGAAAGCACTTATGGCTGGAGAGGGACAGGCTACACCCTTTTGCATATTTACACCAAAGAAACAAGAGTTCTGCACATAAGGGAGCACATGCAAGGTTGGATATTGCAGGACTGTACTTACCAAAACCAACCAACCAACCACGGTGTTAGAACGGTTCACTAATTAGGGTACAGGCGTGTGGACAGACCATAGAGAGTAATTCAGCTATCCAAAGAATGCACTGGACACTATGCCAAGTGAAGGAAGCCAGACAAAGAAGGCTACATATTGTATGATCCCATTTGTATGAAATGCCCAGAATAAGCAAATAGAGACACAAAGTAGATTAGAGGTTGCTGGGGAGTGGGAGGTGGGATAAACTGCCAATGGGTGTTCAGATTCTTTTTGGGGTGATGAAAATGTTCTGAAATTGATGGTGGTGATGGTTGGACTACTTTGTGAACATACTAAAAACCACTGAATTGCATACTTGGAAAGGGTGGATTTTATGGTGTGTGAATTACATCCCAATAAAAACAAAGGGAAGCACTGGAATGTGTACAATATGATTCTACTTTGAAACAGTCTGTTTAATTAAGCTCTTTGTCTCCGCATGGTAGAGTCTATTTATGTGAACAAGGAGATGTGAAGAAGAAATGTCAAAACTGAGGGCACTGGCTGTCTCAGGGAAAGGATACTGTATGTATGGGGAAAGAAGATTATTGAAGACTACTTACTGTTACACAGCAAATACTGTTTTTGTAAGTTAAAATAGTTTTCAAAGAAGGAAAATCAAAGCAGAGCGGGAACTGACCTCACCATTTGGTCTGGCCACCCAGCTTCCTTGAACAGTGGTCCTCCCATGGTTGCATATAAATGAATGAAATGAGGTAAGAGCACGACAGTCTTGAATACCAAGGAAAGGGCTCAGTGTCTATCAGCCCCCACGTGGCCATCTCCCACCCCTCTGGCTGGGCACACCCACAGGTTGCAGACCCTGCCCCTTCCGCTATGAGAAGAGAAGAAACAGCTGCGTCCAGAGTCATGACAGGGACACCTACTGTCTCAGGTATTAGAGGAGGGACAGACTACAGTGGGGTGGCATGGGGGCACAGAAGTGGGTGCCTTGGGCCTCAGCAGCAGAGTGAACTGAGGTTGGAGAGGAGTGGGGTGTCGGTGTTCTGATACTCCATGCTTGGGGAGCTCCCACAGTGTGGCAGGCACAGTGGTTGAAGGGCACCAGAGCAGTGGGAGGCGCCGCTGTTGACAGAGTAAGGAGGCATCTGCCCCCAGGTGACGGTGTCTGTCTTCTGCAACAGGCAGGACAGATGGAAGGCAGGACAGGTGGAAGGCAGGAGTGGAGCAGCAGCATGGTAAAAGCTGGGTTCCCTGTTCTGCTTCCAGCCACAAAAGGATAACAAAAACCAGATGTACCCTCTTACTTCAAACAACTAGTAAACTGGGCAAAACACATGAAACAATGGTTGATTTCCAACAATGGACATGGGGCAGTTCAGAACAGAGACTCCTGAGAGACGGGAAACAAAGTGAGTCCTACAACTGCCTCACCTGCCTGCCTGGACCCAGTTTCCAGACTGCAATGTCGGGCTGGGAACTCAGACAGAGCCTGTGGTCTGAGGAGTTGAGGAGACAGCACAGAGTCTGGAGACTAAACTCTGCAGGGCAAAGTGCCAGAGCTGACGGAGCTGTACAGACTCAGAACTGTGGATCCACTTGAGACTGACAGGGCAGATGGGCATGTGCCTTGAAGCAAACCACCCAAACCAGGGGAAAGAAACACCAGAAAGAGGTTGGCAGAATAATCAGTAAACTCACATGGGGCTGGGAATGCTCTGTGTGCCAGTTAGTGTGCCAGAGTGGGACATCCTCTTGTACATGGCACAGAGTCAAGTCCCCAGAAGGGCACTGCCTCGGCAGTGAGGCAAAATCAGCCTGAGACTATGGCTTCTCTGGACTCACCTCAACAAAACCTAAAAGCAGACCTTAAAGGATCAAACGAATACTAAGTAATTCCATTGCAGCCCAAAATAAATCCCCCAAATATTTAAGAAATTCCAAACACCCAACACTCAACAAAGTAAAATTCACAATGTCCAGCATCGAATCAAGTAACTAAAACGAAAAACAAGTTAATAAAGTCAGAGGAATTAAGAGTCTATTAAAATAATATTGTTTACCCCCAAAAGACGCATTAAGGGAGGAATAGAATAAAAAAAGACACAAGATAACCCTGAATAGTCACAGCAATCTTGAGAAAGAAAAATAAATTCGGAGGTATCATGTTACCTGATATATAACCATACTACAAGGCCTCAGTAATCAAAACAGCACGGGACTGACATAAACACCAACACATAGATCAATGGAACAGAATAGAGAGCCTAGAAATAAACCCATGCCTATATGGTCAATTAATCTGTGACAAAGAAGACACAAATATACAATAGGGTACAGACAGTCTATTCAGTAAATGGTGCTGGGAAAACTAGACAGATACATGCAAAAAAAACAAAACAAAAACTAGACCACCTTCTCACACTATATACAAGAATAAACAAAATGGGTTAAACACTTAAATGTAAGACCTGGGCTCTGGCTGGGTGGCTCAGTTGGTTGGAGTATAGTCCCGTACAACAAAAGGTGGTAGGTTCAATTCCTAGTCAGGGCACATAAAGGAGGCAACCGATTGATGTTTCTCTCTCATGTCAATGTTTCCCTCTCTCTCTCTCCTTTCCTCTAAAAAAAATCAATAAAAACACATCCTCAGGCCCTAGCTGGTATTGCTCAGTGGTAAGAGTGTCAGCCCACACACTGAAGGGTTGTGGGTTCAATTCCTGATCAAGGGCACATACCTGAGTTGTAGGTTTGATCCCCAGACCCGGTCAGGGTGCATGCAGGAGACAACCAATCGATGTGTCTCTCTCACATCGATGTTTCTCTCTCTATCTCCCCCCTCCCTCACTCCCTTACACTCTCTCTCTTTTTTTAAAAAAATTATTTTTAATTTTTTTTATCCTCACCTGAGGACATTTTTCCATTTTTTGTCCAGATAGAGTGGGAGGGAGAGGGAGAGAGAGAGAAACATGGACATGAAAGGGACACATTGCATAGCTGCCACCCGCACAACCAACCAGGGCCGGGGACAAACTGCAACCGAGGTACATGCCCTTAGTGGGAACCGAACCCGGGTATCTCCGGACCGCAGGCCGACACTCCAACCACTGAGCCAAACCAGCCAGGGCCCCTCCACTCTCTCTTTAAAAAAAAAAAAATCAATGAAAAAAATATCCTGGGGTGAGGATTAAAAAAAAGAATTGCCAGCTGGTGTGGCTCAGTAGACTGAGCATCCTCCCATGGACTGAGAGGTACTGGTTCGATTCCCAATCAGGGCACATGCCCAGGTGCAGGCTTGATCCCCAGTGGGGGACGTGCAAGAGGCAGCTGATTGATGTTTCTCTCTCACATCGATGTTTCTCTCTCTCTAAAAAATCAATAAAAAAAAAAAATAATAATAATAAAAGGCCCGGACAGTATGGCTCAGTGGTTGAGTGTCGACATGTACACTGAGAGGTCACCAGTTCGATTCCTGGTCAGGGCACATGCCCACATTGCAATCCCTGGTGGGAGGCGTGCAGGAGGCAGCCGATCAATGTTTTTCTCTCACTGATGTTTCCATCTATCTCTTTTTTTTTTTTATCCTCACCCGAGGACATTTTTCCATTTTTTGTTCAGATAGAGCAGGAGGGAGAGAGAGAGAGAAACATCGATGTGAAGGGACACATCGAGTGGCTGCCACCCGCATGACCAACCAGGGCCGGGGACAAACTGCAACCGAGGTACGTGCCCTTAGAAGGAACCGAACCCAGGTCTCTCTGTACCGCAGGCCGACGCTCCAACCACTGAGCCAAACCGGCCAGGGCTCCATCTATCTTTCCTTCTCCCTTCCTCTCTCTAAAAATCAATAAACACATTAAAAAAAATGTAAGACCCAAAACAATAAAACTCCTAGAAATAAACATAGGCAATAAACTCTCTGACACTGCTCTTAGTAATATTGTTTTGGATATATCTCCTCAGGCAAGGGAAACAAAAGAAAAAATAAATAAATAGGACTACATCAAACTATGGTTTCTGCATAGCAAAGGAAACCATCAATAAAACTAAAAGATATCCTACCGAATAGGAGAAGATATTCATTAATAATACATCCCATAAGGATTAATATCCAAAATTTATGAAGAACTCATACAACTTCACATGAAAAACCCCAAATAACCCAATTAGAAATGGGCAGAGGTCCTTAATGGACATTTCTCCAAAGAGGACAGACAGATGGCCAATAGACATGTATAAAGATGCTCAGTGTCACTAATCATCAGAGAAAGCAAATTAAAACTACACTTCACACTTGTTAGAATGGTTATCACCAATAAATCAACAAACAAGTGTTGGAGAGGATGTAAAGAAAAGGGAAGCTTCATGCATTGTTGGTGGAATTGCAAATTGGTACAGCCACTATGGAAAACAGTATGGAGGTTCCTAAAAAGTAAAAAATAGAACTACCTTATGACCCAGCAATTCTACTTCTGGGTATTTATCTGAAGAAACCCAAAACACAAATTTGAAAAGATATTATGTATCCCTATGTTTACTGTAGCTTTATTTATTTATTTACTTATGTATTTATTTATTTTATCGATTTCAGGGAGGAAGGTGGGAGGCAGAGAGAGCATTTCAGAGAAGGAGGAAGAAAGGAAGAGAGAGAGAGAAACATTGGTTAGTTGCCTCCCACACATGCCCTGATCATGGCGGGGATCGAACCTGTAACCTACTGCCCTTGACCAGGTATTAAACCTGTAAGCCAGGTACATGCCCTTGACTGTTCCCAAATCAGTGTGTAGACTACACTCTAACCATTGAGCAATACCAGCCAGGGCCAGTAATGCGCTTTAAATACAAAGATAGATTTTAAAAGTGCAAGAATGGGGAAAGATATACCCTGTAAATACTAATAAAAAAAAAGCTGAGGTGGCTATGTTAACATCACACAAAGATTGCAGCATAAGGAATATCATCATAATGATCATTATTACAATATCAATATAAGTGCTCACAACAATCTAAATATAGATGCATCTACTAACAGAGCTTCAAAATACAAAAACAATACAAATAGCAAAAACCTGATAGAACTGAAAAGAGAAATAAACAAATCCACCATTATACTTGGTGATTTCAATCATTTCTCTCAATAATTGATAGAACACACAGCACTACATCACAGCCCTTCCTTTAGCTGTTCCATACCAGATTTCATGCCAAGAAACTCCCCCAAACAAGAACCAACCACCACAAACATCTAAGTCTTCGTGAGGAGACAAGCCAAGTGATCTCATGTGACCTGATTGTTGGCATTCCACTAAAACCACTCTTCAGAGCTTCTGGCAGTGTGGACATGTAGGTCCTGGGCAACTGGCCTACTCGTTGGGCTGAATAAGGCTGAAAGAAACACTCATCTTGAGAGCACCCCTGGGGCAGCACCTGGACTCTCTTTAACTGGGGCTGTTCCCAGCCCAGAGCTTCCTGAGACTGGTGAGCAGGCCCCCAGATAGGAAGTCCTGGGACGACTGAAGATCCTGATCAGGGGAAGGAAGCTGCCAACCCCTTCATAAAGAACAGATGTTCAGAAGGAAGAACGCAGCCACTCACCTCAGGCCTGGCTTCCAGGAGACTGTGACCCCATTTATCCTCTAGATTCTCCTTGTGAGGAAGAGCAGGGTCCTGAGAGGACAGAGCTGGGAAGGTGAAATGAGTAATGGGTGGCTGTTCAGCCATAGCCATCAGGTGAGTTAACGGAGCTAAAAAACATTCCACCCATGGCACCCAGGGGAATCAGGGGTCAGGAACCTCCACTGCAGAAGGGGTGGGGAGTGAGCCCCTATGTCTGGCACAATCTGATACTGCATCAGGGATGATTCTGCCACTCAGTGTCAGACACTCCAATTAAGAAGGAAAAACACTGTCATTCCCTTCTTCTCAGCAGCATGTCCCAGACAGCGGGATCAAACGGTTGTGCACGTAAGGAGGCAGGAAGCCTGACTCTGCGGGTGCTCTGGGAAACGAGGCTGACCTGTCTGAGTGTCAGTCTCCTCAATGCAAACCCACAGACCCACTGACTAAGAGAGACAACGGTACCTGTCTCCTGGGGCTTCGGGGCAGGGGTCTCCATGGCGGCCCTTGGCAGCGTCCCCCCGAGCGGGCAGTTCTGCAGCTACCTGGGCCCTAGGCCAGGCCTAGAGAATCAGGTCCTGCCCCCGGAGCTCAGCCACTAGGAGCCAGCAGGCGTGGAGCGCGGTCAACAGACAGGCCCCGGGGCGGATGAACAGATCGACCGACGGACGGACAGATACGCGACCGAGGCAACCGGCCTGCCACAGAAGGCCAACGGCCACCACAAAGAAGCAGCGCCCCCTGCCACCGTGGGAAAGTGCGCCTGCGCGGACCCTATGTGAACAACTGCACCCCGGTGCCTTTGTACCCGCAGGCGGCGCACTCCATTTCCCAGAGGGCTTCGGGGCACCAGAGCAGCTCAGAAATCCCGACCTGGAGGAGCGTGTAGCACAGCCTTCTGGGAAATGTAGTTCCGGGGCCAGAAACCGTGCGCTCTGGTCACGCTCCACTCACTGGCATCTCTTGCTGTGGCAGTACCTTTTTTTAAAAATATGTTTTTATAGAGAGAGGAAGTGAGATAGAGAAATAGAAACATTGATTGGCTATCCCCTGCACACTCCCTACTGGGGATCAAGCCGGAAACCGGGCATGTTCCCTGATCCGGAATCCAACCAGGATTTCTCAGTCCAAGCGTTGAAGCTCAGTCCACTGAGCCACACTGGACAGGCTGTGGCAGTGTCTTGTGTGTGTGTGTGTGTGTGCACACGTGTGTGTGTGTGTGTGTGTGCGTGTGCGCGCACGTGTGTGGGGGGGCGTTGGGGGAGTGTGTGTCTAATTAAGAGGGCAGTGCCCAGGTCTTCATGGCGCCCTTGGCAGCGTCCCTGGGTGGTGTGAGCAGACATCTCCAGGTGAAGTCACATGGCTCCCGACCCACATTCATCTTTGCAGGAAAGACTCAGGCCTCTGGACTTAGGGACACTAAGGGTGGTGGGCCGGCACCTGGAATCCCTGGTGAGGGAGAGCTCCAGCCCAGTTGTCAGGCCCAGTGGCCGTGACTCCTGTCCACCATCAGGAGCTTGGGAAAAGGGCAGTGGCACAGCTTTGGGACAGTGCTCCAACATTAATACAGCGATGGCGCCAATATTTAATGAGCACCGACCATGCCAGGAACATTTCCAAGGGCTTGACATGTAATTTCTGGCAACAGCCCAGTGACGCTTGTAAGCTGTTATTACCCTTATTTTAGAGATGAGGTATCTGGGCACAGAGATGAGGTAACTTGTCCCAAGTCACACAGCCAGGAGGAAGTGGAATCAGGCTTTGATTCCAGGCTGAGTAATTCCAGAACTGAAGTTTATTACCAGGTTCCTACAGAGAGCTGATCTCAGGTGGGGCAGAAAGAGTGCAGACTGGAAACTGTTCAGACTCCCACTTTCACCCCAGGTAGTCTTGGCCACAGGCTCTCACTTGATACCTCTGTGGCCAGTGCCTGCATCAGCATAGCTGTGCCCCATGCCAGGAACAGTGTCAATAGCAACCCCGGGACAGGAGCCTGGGAGAGGGTGGGACTGTATGTACCTGAGCCTCACGAGTCTGGTTGTGGATCTGTGAATGTGGTGCTGAGTGGCTGTTGCCTTACAGGGCTGGTTAATGTGTGAATCTTTGAACCCGTGTGTGTATTTGTGTCTCTATGGGTCTTTCAGATCTAGGGGAGTTTGTATATGTGTACACAAGCATTCATGCTCATTTCTGACTTTGGTTCTTGCCTCTCATTTCTCATCCATGTGTGAATGTGTGGGTGTGCTTCTGAGAAAGAGTGTATGCATGCACTTGTGTACAGGTGAAACTGCACCCAGTATGTGGCTGTTACATGAGAAGGCTGTGTAGGCAAAGCAGTCTACAAATGTCCAAGGAGCCAAGAGACCAAAGAAAGAGGCAGACAAGTCCAGCTCATCAGGGAACTTACTACAGTAACGGGTCCTGAGATCACAGGATGTTCAGATCTCTGCACCTTTCATCCTCTGGACCACCTTCATTTATCCCCCCCTTAGAGATGAACCTATGTGCTAGGAAAGGAATGTGTGGGTGGTTAGGGGGAAGCCAAGAGGCCAGAAGCTCTGGCAGCAGAGAGATAACATCTAGGGCACCTTGCCCCAGATGTAGGAGTATTGGTAATTCCATCATTAGCTGAAACCTCTGTACACATTCCAGAGTCCACCCAGGGGAACGGGAGGGGAGTCAAAGGTCAGGCCTCATTCACTTAGAAGTTAAGTTGGCTATTTAGCTTCAAGATGGAATCAGCTTTGCCTGCATGTGGCTGTTGTCTCACAGTTTTGATATGTTAATTAAGATCACAAAAATGTCCATGGAGTGTGATGGTGACAGTAAAGTCTAGTCAATAAATTGTGCTAGAAAAACCAAGGAATCATATGAGAAAAATAAAAAAGAACTTTGACTTCCTTACCTTACAACATACATAAAAATCAATTTGAAATGAATCATAGACCTTAATATAAAAGCTAGAGCCCTGGCCGGTTTGGCTCAGTGGTTAGAGTGTTGGTCTGCGGTCCAGAAAGACCGGGGTTCAGTTCCTGCTAAGAGCACGTACCTCAGTTGCAGTTTGTCCTCAGCCCTGGTTGAGTCGTGTGGGTGGCAACCACTCGATGTGTCCCTTTCACATCAATGTTTCTCTCTCTCTCTCTCTTCCTTTCACTCTATCTGAACAAAAAATTGAAAAATGTCCTCGGGTAAGGATAAAAAAAAAAAGCTAGAACCATAAAGTACCATGTTTATCTCAAATAAAACCTTAAACTAGGCAAAGACATCTTAGGCAGTACACAAAAGGTTCCAACCATAAAAGAAAAAGTATCTAACAAATTGAACTTCATCAGAAACAAAACTTACATTCATTGTAATGTATTAAAAATTAAAATACTAAGTATTGGCAAGAATCAGAGCTCAGTACCTATTTTTCTCTGAATGTTTGTGGCCCCACAGAAACTTGACCCCTTTCTGTTAGAACTTTGGCCATGATGGGTACAGACATCTATCCCTGGGCTATGCTCTTGAATAATATGTATTTGTGGACAGTGTGCTTGTAAGTTCCCATTCATTTTCTTAGGTAAGGTATTCCCTGATAAACCCTATGTGATATCTGCAATGTATAGTGCTACTGATATGTGTCCACAAACCCCCGGTACCTCACTTGGCACCCAACTTGGGGCTCCACTCAAATGATGTCATCACAGACAGAGGGTGATGGAGGTCAAAAGGTGGGACAGGCTGGCTGGGTATATGGAACAGAGAGCACCCACTGTCCAGAAGGCTAAACCCATGGTATGAACCCTGCAAGTATGCACTTGGGCCCGGCCGATGTGGCTCAGTGCTTGAGCGTCGACCCATGCACCAAGAGGTCACCAGTTGGATTCCCGGTCAGGGCACATGCCCAGGTTGTGGGCCAAGTCCCCAGTGGGGGGCATGCAGGGGGTGGCCAACCGATGTTCTTTCTTATGGATGTTTCTCTCTCTCTCTCTACTTTCCTCTCTCTCTCTAAAATCAATGAAGTAAAAAAAGTATGCATTTGGGACCACTGAGCTGAATAGCCCAGTACTTTGCCCAACTCATGGACCTTGGGATCTGTCATGCTAAGTGCACTCTGCTAGCTGGAGCTGGAATCACAAGGTGTACCTGCCTTGTTGATGCCCATGGATGCATTTATCTTCAGATAGAAAGGGAGGGAGAGAGACACATCGACTGGTTGCCACCCACATGATCCCAACCAGGGCCGGAGACGAACTGTAATTGAAGTACGTGCCCCCAGCGGGAACCAAACCTGGGATTCTCTGGTTTGTGGGTCGACGTTCTAACCGCTGAGCCAAATCGGCCAGGGCTTGACCAAAGGTTTTCCCACACTCATAACACTTGTAGGGTTTCTCTTCAGTGTAAGTTCTCTGGTGTTGATTAAGGTGTGTACTTCTGCTGAAAGATTTGTCACAATTTTTGCATTTATAAGGTTTCTCTCCAGTATAAATTCTCTGGTGTTGAGTAGGGTTTGTATTCCATTGGAAAACTTTCCCACATTCATACATTCAAAGGGTTTCTCTCTGGTATGGATTCTCTTATGTTGAATAAGGGATGACCTATGACTATAGGTTTCGTCACATTCAGTACATTCATGGGGTTTCTCAGATGTAAAGTAGCTGCATGCTCTGGTATAGGCTTTCCTACATTCTTTACATTCAAAGGGTTTTTCTCCATTATGAATCCTCTTATGTTGTATCAGGGATGAGCTATGACTATAGGTTTTACCACATTCAGTACATTCATAAAGTTTCTCTCCAGAATAAGTTCTTAGACGTAGGGTAAGTTGAATGATCTGAATAAAGGCCTTGCCACATTGATTACATTCATATGGTTTCTCCCCAGTATGAGTTTTCTGATGTACAGTAAGATGTGAGCTTTGGCTATAGGCCTTCCCACACTGGTCACACTCATAAGGTTTCTCTCCTGTGTGAGTCCTCTGATGATGTGTGAGGCATGTACTTTGGCGGAAGGCTTTCCCACATTCACAGTGTTTTTCTCCAGTATGAGTTCTCTGATGTAGAATAAGCGATGAGTCCCAGTTGAAGGACTTCTCACATACATTACAGTCATATGGTCTCTCCCCTATAGGGCATCTTTCATGTTGTATAAGGTGTGTTCCCCTGATGAAATATTTCCCACAATTTTTGCATTTGAAGGGCTTTTTTCTAGCACCCACCTTCTGACATCAAATACCCATGTATGGATTAACTCCAGGATGCGTACTCTGGTGTTCAGTGAGATCCAAACGACAGCTAAAGAATTTCCCACATTTATCACATTTGTATAATTTTTCACTTGTGTAGATTCCCTGATTGTTACTTAGATCTAGGTTATATGAAAAGCTACTGTCATCTTCATTCACTATTTTCCCCAAAAGACTTTTGATTTGAGTAATAAAGTTTGGTTGCTGTCTAAACTCTTCCTCAAATTCATTATTTCCATGAATGTTCTCTAGAACATTCTAGCTTGTTTTTTTTTTTTTTTTTTTTTTTATGGGTAAGTGCCATCTGCCTTAGATAGCTCTCTAAAGAGACAAGAGATTCTGGAACTTCCCTGGTGGAGTAACACATTCCATTTCTCTTACCTTTGTTGATTATCATGCCCTGGGAAAATTCTTTAGAAATTACTTGCTTCAGATTTGACTCTTCAATTCCAGATCCAGTCTCTTGGTCTGGAAGAGATAAAAATAGAGGATATATGACCATTTTGAGAGACAGATAACATAAAGTACTCAAAGCCAC